GGAAAGGGAGCTAGGAAATGAGGAAAGGGTATAGGAAAGGAATTAAGGAAACAGAGATCGGGAAGGAGGAGAGGAAAAGGAGGTAGGGAAAAAGGAAGTTAGCAAAAGGAGGAAAGGAAGCTAGGAAAGGAGGAAAAGGGAGCTAGGAAATTAGGAAAGGAAAGGAATCTAGGCACAAAAAGGAGGAGTTCACATATGTGGTAGGGATTAACCACGGCCAGTGAGAAAATGAGGTAAGAAAGGGAGCTAGGAAAGGAGAAAAGGAAGCAAGGAATGGTGGAAAGGAATCTAGGAAAGAAAAGGAGGAGTTCACGTGTGGTAGGGATTAAACACGGCCAGTAGATGGCAATAGTATTGGTTTTAGTGACAAGCTAGTTTTAGTGACAGGCTAGTTTAGTCACAGGCTACTGCGGGGCACAGCTGGATACTATTGGTCATACCAGCGAAACTTGTGTTATATGAAGCTTGCTGAACATGCACTAGTTCAAAAGATCTTCTTGAACAAAAGATTGGACAATGTGTGCCTTCAATATCAAATGCCATACGGAAACAATTTATTATAAAACCGTTTGGAAACAGCAAGTAAAAACACAAAATAGATACATCTTGAAACTTGTACCAAGGACGACAAGCATCCCTACTCAAACAAAAGCAGACAGATGTTCAAACAAGGCAGTGATATGAGCCTGCAAAATTGTTAGGATTCCCATCTAAAACCTGCTATCATAATTTCTCTATTATGAAAGATGTACACAAGCACTTATTGGCAAATACATTCAATAGTCCAACCCAACCATAGGCATATTCACATCCTAGCCATCTATTTACTCAACATTGACTTTTGTTTGAATAGGGAGCTAGGCCATACAGTTAGAACCACAAAAAGAAAAACTAGTCAGACAAAACTGGCTTTAAATAAAACAAATATGAACACCACCATACAGTATATCCATATTCACATAAAATGGACATTAGCACTGTACCTCCAGTATTTCTAACCAAATCACAGAATTAAACAAAAGGGAAAGAATGAATGTGGACATGTTCTTGCATGTGTCCATTTGACCCTGTAAGTGTGTGACAATGTGTACAGAACTAAGTCAGCAGAGGTGTTCGATAGCAGACAAAATGGAAAATGTGTTAAAATTAGGGTTAAATGCAAGAGAGACAAATCATTGTAGACTAATTAACTATGTGTAGCCTAACCTTCTAAGCTCACTCCCAGCCCTTGATGAACCACATGCATCCCTTATGACAGATGACTAAAGAGATTATTCACCGCGCAGTGGTGAGAAAGTGAAAAGCATTAGACATACACATCCCGAGAGCGGAAGATTTCATCCCAGTACACACAGGCGTCGATAAACAAAAATACCTAAAACTATTAGGAAAACAGACTACTTGTCTATTTGTGGTTCAGGGCATGATGAGTAGGAGTCAGAGGAAAGTGCAAAGTTGACTTTGTGCACACAATGCTATTAGACACACAGTAGAAACCACAGCATGGGCTAAATAATCCCAGAGTACCACGCAATCAAGTATTATGTGTCCTTGTCTCATGCAGCATGCATCCAGCAGAGGCGTAAACAAGAGAAAATGCATCATACAGTATTCATATAGAACAGTTGGGAAGTTTTACAGTTCCAAAAGGTACTTGTGTAATACAAGTACCTTACAATACAATACCTACACAGTACATAGAAATACAGGATTACAAAATACCATGTTGAAATTGTAATAGCATATTCATTGTAAACAATTCTGACCAGCTTTGTGAGATAGCATATCTTGGTTATAATTTCATTTCACTACTACTGACTTCTGAGTAGTTAATCAAAACTGAAAATAGTCCTCTTTCGAGGATTTGTTGAGACATCGAAATAATCCCCCCCCACACTTTTGATATACACAGACGGTTACAGAACAACAAGTAAAATGACACAATATCAACCTTCAGAACTACTGTAGTGTATAAAAAGGCCCAAAATGACGGTGTTCAACACAGCATAACTAATTGTACAATATGCATTGCAATACTGATGTGATTCCCCAACAAGCTTCATCCTTGCGTCATCAGAGGCACATTTTTACAGCTATTGTTGTTCACATCGCTTGTGCAACTGGTATGTTGGTGTACTCCAAAATATAATAATATTAAGTATAATAATAATGCATATGGCATTAACAGACTCCGATATCAAAATACATACATAAATACATGTAAAGTACAAATACATAAAACTATCATCTGTTCCTAATATCTAAGCCCTGGGTTCTGACTGAAGGTATGGGGTGCTCCTCCATTGTTTCCTATTCCTTATATCGTTTAGAAAATTCATGTTAAAATATAATTTTCCTTAGTGCACTTTACCCCAATGTAAACATCAACACACAGAAGAAGATGAAATAGGAATGGGTTTCTTACGCATGGACATTTCCACATGCACACCAGTCATTATGCTTAAATGTGAATATAATATGTAGATAAGGTCAAAGGCTGTATCGAGGATAATAAATATGCAAGCGGATCCTGTGAAAGCTTAAACTGTTTATCTTTAGCTTGGTGGTGTCACCTGGACAGCTGTATTCTAGGATGTAGCCTAAAACAGGTTTGAGAGCAAAACTATCTGTGACTTATCCAAACAATATCCTGTCAACAATTGCCTCTGTGACAGAGATGAGGTAACAGCATTTGATAGGATTAAAGTTCCATGCTTTAGTAGTACAAGCATTGACAGCAAGCTCAAATTGCCATGCTACACCAATGTTAAACTGATTAAAGTCTACCATGATTTTAGCAAAACCGAGTGGTATAAACCCTGTTGTTCATGAGAATCAGTACAGAGGAACCAGGAAACCCAGAAGTGGACGAGGTCGGGATGAACGAACATAATGATGAGGTTATGACAAAATATTGTTCAATATAATCAACAGGTTTCAAAACTAACCCTGGCTTTAATTTCTATGGTCAATTAGATTGGAAGAAATATCCTCTTTGAGATTTGCATAAAAAATGCTTTGAAATATAAACTAGCGAAATAATTGAAGCATTCGTAAAAGGGGACTGCATTTTCCTGCTACTGTCAAGCCTGCAAACAAGGAAATAAGAGCTATTTGTCAAACAAGAAAGGCTCTCATTCCATAAGATATGGCTTAAGATAACAAAAACAAAACTAATCTGTTTCATGGCAGCTAATACAATTTGTTAGTAATACAATGTCTTCACATCAACCAAAACCTGACCTAGTGCATTCGGAAAGTTTTCAGACCCCTTGACTTTTTCCACATTTTGTTACGTTACAGCCTTATTCTAGAATGGATTCAATAGGTTTTTCCCCTCATCAATCAATGACAAAGCAAAAACAGGTTTTTAGAAAAAACTGAAATATCACATTTACATAAGTATTCAGACCCTTTACTCAGTACTTTGTTGAAGCATCTTTGGCAGCGATTACAGCCTTGATTCTTGGGTATGACGCTACAGGTTTGGCACACCTGTATTTGTGGAGTTTCTCCCATTCTTCTCTGCAGATCCTCTCAAGCTCTGTGAGGTTGAAAAACATCCCCACAGCATGATGCTGCCACCACCTTGCTTCACCATAGGGATGGTGCCAGGTTTCCTCCAGACGTGACGCTTGGCATTCAGGCCAAAGAGTTTAATCTTGGTTTCATCAGACCAGAGAATCTTGTTTCTCATGGTCTGAGAGTCTTTAGGTGCCTTTTGGCAAACTCCAAGCGGGCTGTCATGTGCCTTTTACTGAGGAGTGGCTTCCGTCTAGTCACTCTACCATAAAGACCTGATTGGTGGAGTGCTGCAGAGATGGTTGTCCTTCTGGAAGGTTCTCCCATCTCCACAGAGGAACTCTAGAGCGCTGTCAGAGTGACTATCGGGTTCTTGGTCCTTGGGGACCTTCAATGCTGCATACATTATGTGCCTTTCCAAATCATGTCCAATCAATTGAATTTACCACAGGTGGACTCCAATCAAGTTGTAGAAACATCTCAAGGATGATAAATGGAAACAGGATGCACCTGAGCGCAATTTCGAGTCTCATAGCAAAGGGTCTGAATACTTATGTAAATAAGGTATTTCTGTTTTTTATTTTTAATACATTTGCCAAAAAAATAGAAAAACCTGTTTTTGCTTTGTCATCATGTGTGTAGATTGATGAGGTGGGACAAAAATTACATCAATTTTAGAATAAGGCTGTTACGTAACAAAATGTGGAAAACGTCAAGGGGTCTGAATACTTTATGAATTGCCCTGCAGTTTTGTATGATTCAAAATATACTTCAAACTGTTCAAGACGCAGTCCGGGATCTTAAGCACAACAAATTCGTAACATATTGTTTTAATTGGATTCGTAACATATCATATGAATTGCAAAAAAAAAAAAAAAGAATGTCATGGATGACGTAGTACACAATTGGATGATGTAGCACACAAAAAAAAGGGACCCATTTTGGCTCGTTAGCACCACTTTCAAAACTACTGGAGCATCACTTTAAGTCTATGCATACAACCCTAAATCAAAACATGAATGTGTAAAAAATTATCAGTCAAAACTTTCCTCTCCAAAAACTACTAACTTCTGTGAACTACTATTAGCAACTACTCTATCCCATGTTTAAAAATAGACATTAAAAAATATATATAATGTCAATAGACAAACTACATTTTTATGGACACAAAACATGATTTAACCTTGGCTAGTCACTATCAATTTAACATTTTCCTTTTTTGGCCCCAAAAATCCTATTAGCTTATAAAAGTAATAAATAAGCCCAGGAAATAAAGTGCAATCTATTTCCTAGTGTTACATATTTACAAAACAAAATCCTGGATAAAGTGAAATCTACAAAACAAAATCAATGTGGCGATTCGTTTGAGTTCCTTCAGAGGGGAAATACGATTTTGCCCAAACATTTCCTTCCTTCAACAGTGAGTGTCAAGGTGCATCCTTGGAAGATATGGCTGCATGAAATGATTCAAGGAAATGTCACTTCCTTAGCTTCCCTTTCTGGGGGTTAGAGTCTACTGCGGTATCCCCAACCTTATCCGAGGCAGGCCTGTCTTTGTGCAAAGCAGCTGTCGCTTCTGGTGCCTTACTGGAGACGTTCACCATGAGAGAGACATCCTTAACCAGCTGCTGGGTGCCAATGTTGTTATCGGTAGAGTCGGGCTCCTGTCTCTCGTCGTCTTCCTCCTCTCCGTCTGAGCACGGCTCCCAGTCGTCCTGCTCCTCACTCTCCGTCGAGCCCTGCACAGCAATCTGAGGCACCAGGGTGAAGCGTTTCACCTCAGTCACCTCCTCGCTGGGTTGGGACATGGGTGTCCAGGAGGCTGCCCGCTGTTGGAGCCGGTTGGCTCCAGGGGCAGTGAGCATCACGGTGAACGTGGGGCTGGTCTTCTGGTCGTCAGGCTCGTCAAAGCTCACCTCCTGCACCGCCTCCTGCTTCTTGAAGGAGTCACGGCGCTCCGAAAGGTTGAGCTTCCTCATCACCACCAATTGCTCTGAGCGCTCCGCTGCCCAGTCCCTCAGCCTCTGGCATCCCCCGTACCCCCCCAGCAGCCTCCCGTGGTCCCCGAGGTAGGAGATCCCTCCGCCGCAGACCCCCTCCACCTCCACGTCCTCGCCCTCGCCCTGGAAAGGCACCTCCAACGTGTGCCTGCGGTGGGGGTACGACTTCTTGTCAACATGGTAGGCGCTGGAGAGCCTCTCAGCCGACTGCACCCTCTTGAGGAGGGGGGAGCGGGGCGGCTCTGCGCTGCGGGGGCGCACACAATGGCGGACAATGGTGGGGGGGGACAAAGTCTTGCCATGGACTGTGTGGAAGGTCTTCGTGATGCCAGGGAGGGGAGAGGGGGAGCGCTGGGGTGACAGAGGCTGGGGGGAGGAGTTGCAGGCCAGGGGGGACGGGGGGATGCTGCTGGTGGACTTGCGGCGGCCCACCTTGGTGTAGCGCTGGATACTAAGCTTGGAGCCCAGGCCATGCAGGGAGCTGGGCCGGATGTGTGCAGCCGGGGAGCTGGGAGAGCTGGAGCAGGGAGAAGTGCTCTGTGGAGAGTTGGTGTCTGAGGGAGAGGTCAATACAGAGTAAGTTTATAGTCTACCTCAAATGGGCTATTGCATTGTCATGGACTAAGACATTTGGACAAAGATATATGGCAAGCAAAATGGGGAGATAAAAGGTTAGTAGTAACAGTATTTATTTTTATTTATTTTATTTTAGCAGACGCTCTTATCCAGAGCGACTTACAGTTAGTGAGTGCATACATTTTCATACTGGCCCCCCGTGGGAAACGAACCCACAACCCTGGCGTTGCAAGCGCCATGCTCTACCAACTGAGCTACAGGGGACTACAGTAGTAGTTTTAGTAGTAGCCTAGTAATACAGTAGTGACTGTAGCCATAGTAGTAGTAGTAATAGTGACAGTAGTTGGCTAGTAGTCATAGTCACAGTTACAGTGCTAGTAGCAACAGTGCTGCAGGAGTGTGGGCCTTGTCTTACCTGCAGCCTGGTGGTCGGGGGCAGGACTGCGGCAGGGGGTGGAGGGGCCAGGTGACATGCTGTGTGTGGGGGAGCCTGGCAGGCTCTCGCTGGACGACACAGAGTGGTGCTGCAGTCCAGAGTTGAAGCTGCGGCTGCTGTGAATCACCGTGCTCTGCTTGGACAGCTTCTTCAGGATGCTCCGCCGCCTAGGTCAGTCAGTGGTTACAAAGAGTTATGAAGGGCTATGAAGGAGTTGCGAAGGGTTTTGAAGGGTAAATAGAGCCATAACATTATTAGTATAGTATGTGATTCACAGCCTGAGATTATTTTTCTGTATGCTGCAACAAAAAAAAACGAATTGAGTATAATTTTGTTTTCTAATTGAACTGGTTGCATGATAATATCTATCAGGGTTAGGTCAACTTGTTTCACGATGATGACAGTAGAGTAATACAAATTAGAAAGGATACTCTGTAACTTATGTTTCTTAACTTAGTCAAGGCTTAGATTTATAACTCCATTTTGAAAAAAGGCAATACTGGTGAGGTATGAAGTTTGTTGTCATCCATGCAGTAGTGTTTAGTGATCTCGATTGAACACTGGGGAGAAATTCACATCAACGGGCATCAAGTTTCTTGGTGTCCACATCACTAAGGATCTATCATGGTTCACACACACCAACACATGCCTCCTCCCCCTCAGGAGGCTGAAAAGATTTGGCATGGGCCCTAAGATCCTCAAAACGTTATACAGCTGCACCATTGAGAGGATCTTGACTGGCTGCATCACCGCTTGGTATGGCAACTGCTTGGCACCCGACCGCAGGGCGCTACCGAGGGTAGTGCGTATGGCCCAGTACATCACTGGGGCCGAGCTTCCTGCCATCCAGGACCTCTATACCAGGCATTGTCAGAGGAAGGCCCAATAAAGACTCCAGCCACTCAATTCATAGAAAGTTCTCTCTGCTACCGCACAGCAAGCGGTACTGATGTCTGGAACCAACAGGACCCCGAACAGCTTCTACCCCTAAGCCATAAGATTGCTAAATAGTTAGTTAAATAGTTAACCAAATAGCTACTCAGACTATCTGCATTGACCCTATTTGCATGAACTTTTTAGACTCGTCACATACGCTGCTGCTACTGTTTATTATCTATCACTTTATTCCTAGTTAAATGTACATACAGTTGAAGTCGGAAGTTTACATACACCTTAGCCAAATACAGTTGAAGTCGGAAGTTTACATACACCTTAGCCAAATACATCAAAAGAAATCAAAAGAAATCAGCCAAAAATATTGTAGACCTCCACAAGTCTGGTTCATCCTTGGGAGCAATTTCCAAACGCCTGAAGGTACCACGTTCATCTGTACAAACAATAGTACGCAAGTATAAACACCATGGGACCACACAGCCGTTATACCGCTCAGGAAGGAGACGCTTTCTGTCTCCTAGAGATGAACGTACTTAGGTGCAAAAAGTGCAAATCAATCCCAGAACAACAGCAAAGGACCTTGTGAAGATGCTGGAGGAAACAGGTACAAAAGTATCTATATCCACAGTAAAACGAGTCCTATATCGACATAACCTGAAAGGCCGCTCAGCAAGGAAGAAGCCACTGCTCCAAAACCGCCATAAAAAATCCAGACTACGGTTTGCAACTGCACATGGGGACAAAGATCCTACTTTTTGGAGAAATGTCCTCTGGTCTGATGAAACAAAAATATAACTGTTTGGCCATAATGACCATCGTTATGTTTGGAGGAAAAAGGGGGTGCCTTCCAAGCCGAAGAACACCATCCCAACCATGAAGCACGGGGTGGCAGCATCATGCTGTGGGGGTGCTTTGCTGCAGGAGGGACTGGTGCACTTCACAAAATAGATGGCATCGTGAGGAAGGAAAATTATGTGGATATATTGAAGCAACATCTCAAGACATCAGTCAGGAAGTTAAAGCTTGGTCGCAAATGGGTCTTCCAAATGGACAATGACCCCAAGCATACTTCCAAAGTTGTGGTATTGGAGTGGCCATCACAAAGCCCTGACCTCAATCCTATAGAACATTTGTGGGCAGAACTGAAGAAGCGTGTGCGAGCAAGGAGGCCTACAAACCTGACTCAGTTACACCAGCTCTGTCAGGAGGAATGGGCCAAAATTCACCCAACTTATTGTGGGAAGCTTGTGGAAGGCTACCCGACACGTTTGACCCAAGTTAAACAATTTTTACTAGGATTAAATGTCAGGAATTGTGAAACTGAGTTTAAATGTATTTGGCTAAGGTGTATGTAAACTTCCGACTTCAACTGTAGCTAAATTACTTTGTACCCATGCATATTGACTCGGTACTGGTACCTCATGTATATAGCCAAGTTATCGTTACTCATCATGTATTTATTATTACTTTTATTGTTACGCGTTTTACTTTTCTATTATTGCTCTGTTTTCTTTCTCTTTGCATTGTTGGGAAGGGCCCGTAAGGAAGCATGTTTCTGTTAGTCTACACCTGTTGCTTACGAAGCATGTGACAAATACAATTTGATTTGGAATAGTGACTTTTGAAGTACGACTCTTGCTGGATGTATTTATATAAAATTGATGTGAATATATCATAACAATGGCAATACGGCAGCAATATTCCATTAAATTGAATTAGCACAAAACGTTTTCCCTCACCTGTCCTGATTGTCTCTTCTCTTGCTTTTCTTGCTGCGTCTTGCCATCTTTCCCTTGTGGCTGGTCTTTCGAGCCGGCCCAACCTTAATAGACGTGTTCTCCAATGCTGTAGTCTGAAGGGCCACCTTGCCACCACTCTGTTGGAGTTTCATTGGTATTGATTAAAGTTCTTATAATATCTCTCAACAGTGTTGGTATAGGTTGACAATAGGTATTGGTTTGAGGGTGTGTATTGTTTCTGTACCTTCAGAAGCAGCTCCATCATCTCTGTGTGGACCAGGCCCTGCACTGACTCTCCATTCACGTGAGTGATGAGGTCACCGGCCCTCAGTCCTGCCTCGTGGGCTGGGCTGTCATCTTCAACACTCTAAAACAAAAGTGGTTTATTATTATCACAATTACTCAAAAGTCTGTGTGGGATGATGCCGCCTTTTATTATGTAACTATTGGCTAATTCGGGAGCAGGATACCAAAGGGCACTCACCGAGACCATGTGGTGCACAGTGTAGACGTCGCTGTCGCCCATGTAGACGCGGATGGCCTGCATGGTGAAGCCGTACTTCTTCCCTGAGCTGTGGATGACGATGGGTGGCCGCAGGCTTCTGAGGCTAAGCGACAGGTCACGGCTGGGGGACGAGTCGCGGGACGAATGATTGGACGAGAGCGAGCGCGAAGAGATGGGGCTGGGCTGTAGGCCGCCGGGCATGTCATCTGGAATGGTACACAAAGGATGAGTTCAAGTTCAGGAAACGAGAAAAAGCATGGTGCAATGGTTGAATTTAAAACAAGAGACTGCTCTTGTTTAGCATTAGCTCTGTGCAAACATACCTGCCATACCACACCCTATTCAGCGATATTTGCCTGCTGGGCACTAGCAACCCAGTATGACTAACTTACACTACATATACAAAAGCATCTTCAAATTAGTGGATTCGGCTATTTCAGCCACACCCGTTGCTGACAGCTGTATAAAATCGAGCACCCAGCCATGCAATCTCCATAGACAAACATTGGCAGTAGACTGGCCTTACTGAAGAACTCAATGACTTTCAAAATGGCACCGTCATAGGATGCCACCTTTCCAACAAGTCAGTAAGTCACATTTCTGCCCTGCTAGAGCTGCCCATGTCAACTATAAGTGCTGTTATTGTGAAGTGGAAACGCCTAGGAGCAACAACGGCTCAGCCGTGAAGTGGTAGGCCACACAAGCTCACAGAACGGGACCACCAAGTGCTGAAGCACGTAGCGCATAAAAATCGTCTGTCCTCGGTTGCAACACTCACTATCGAGTTCCAAACTGTCTCTGGAAGCAACGCCAGTGCAATAACTGTTTGTTGGGAGCTTCATGAAATGGGTTTCCATGGTCGAGCAGCCACACACAAGCCTAATATCACCATGCGTAATGCCAAGCGTCGGCTGGAATGGTGTAAAGCTCGCTGCCATTGTACTGTGGAGCAGTGGAAACGCATTCTCTGGAGTGATGAATCACGCTTCACCATCTGGCAATCCGACGGGCGAATCTGGGTTAGACGTATGCCAGGAGAACTCTACCTGCCCCAATGCATAGTGCCAGCTGTAAAGTTGGGTGGAGGAGGAATAATGGTCTGGGGCTGTTTTTCATGCCCCCTTAGTTCCAGTGAAGGGAAATATTAACGCTACAGCATACAATGACATTCTAGAAGATTCTGTGCTTCCAACTTTGTGGCAACAGTTTGGGGAAGGCCCTTTCCTGTTTCAGCATGACAATGCCCCCGTGCACAAAGCGAGGTCCATACAGAAATGGTTTGTCGAGATCGATGTGGAAGAACTTGACTGGCCTGCACAGAGCCCTGACCTCAACTCCATCGAACACCTTTGGGATGAATTGGAACGCAGACTGCAAGCCAGGTCTAATCGCCCAACATCAGTGCCTGACCTCACTAATGCTCGTGGCTGAATGAAAGAAAGTCCCCGCAGCAATGTTCCAACATCTAGTGGAAAGCCTTCCCAGAAGAGTGGAGGCTGTTATAGCAGCAAAGGGGGGGATCAACTCTACTTTAATGCCCATGATTTTGGAATGAGATGTTCGACGAGCAGGTGTCCATGTAGTGTATTTCCCTTCTAAACCGTTACCGCGGAGCCCAGAGGAAGCTCCGATGACATTGGTATTAACCTGCAGCAGTGTTGGGATTAGTTACTTATAAAAAATTGTATTCATTACATTTAACAAAAGTAACACATTACTTTACAATATATACACCACCAGTCAACAGTTGACACACCTACTCATTCAAGGGGTTTTCTTTAGTTTTACTATTTTCTACATTGTAGAATAATAGTGAAGACATCAAAACTATGAAATAGCACATATGGAATCATGTAGTAACCAAATAGCCACCCTTTGCCTTGATGACAGCTTTGTACACTCTTGGCATTCTCTCAACAAGCTTCATGAGGTAGTCACCTGGAATGCATTTCAATTAACAGGTGTGCCTTCTTAAAAGTTAACATGTGGAATTTATTTCTGTCTTAATGCGTTTGAGCCAATCAGTTGTGTTGTGACAAGGTAGGGGGGCTATACAGAAGATAGCCCTATTTGGTAAAAGACCAAGTCTATATTATGGCAAGAACAGCTCAAATAAGCAAAGAGAAACGACAGTCCATCATTACTTTAAGACATGAAGGTCAGACAATACGGAACGTTTAACGTTTCTTCAAGTGCAGTCGCAAAAACCATCAAGCGCTATGATGAAACTGGCTCTCATGAGGACCGCCACAGGAATGGAAGACCCAGAGTTACCTCTGCTGCAGAGAATAAGTTAATTAGAGTTACCAGCCTCAGAAATTGCAGCCCAAATAAATGCTTCACAGAGTTCAAGAAACAGACACATCTCAACATCAACTGTTCAGAGGGGACTGTGTGATTCAGGCATTCATGGTCGAATTGTTGCAAAGAAACCACTACTAAAGGACACCAATAAGAAGAAGAGACCTGCTTGGGCCAAGAAACACAGGCAATGGACATTAGACCGGTGGAAATGTGTCCTTTGGTCTGGAGTAAAATGGGAGATTTTTGGTTCCAACCACTGTGTCTTTGTGAGACGCAGTGTGGGTGAACAGATGATCTCCGCATGTGTAGTTCCCACCGTAAAGCATGGAGGAGGTGTTATGGTGTGGGGGTGCTTTGCTGGTGACACTGTCTGTGATTTATTTAGAATTCAAGGCACACTTAACCACCATGTCTACCACAGCATTCTGCAGTGATACGCCATCCCATCTGGTTTGGGCTTAGTGGGACTATCATTTGTTTTTCAACAGGACAATGACCCAACACACCTCCAGGCTGTGTAAGGGCTATTTTACCAAGAAGGAGAGTGATGGAGTGCCACATCAGATGACCTGGCCTCCACAATCCCCCGACCTCAACCCAATTGAGATGGTTTGGGATGAGTCGGACCGCAGAGTGAAGGAAAAGCAGCCAACAAGTGCTCAGCCTATGTGGGAACTCCTTCAAGACTTTTGGAAAAGCATTCCAGGTGAAGCTGGTTGAGAGAATGCCAAGAGTTTGCAAAGCTGTCATAAAGGCAAAGGGTGGCTATTTGAAGAATCTCAAATATAAAATATATTTTGATTTGTTTAACACTTTTTTGGTTACTACATGATTCCATATGTGTTATTTCATAGTTTTGATGTCTTCACTATTATTCTACAATGTAAAAAATAGTCCCCCAAAAAAACTTGAATACGTAGGTGTCCAAACCTTTGACTGGTACTGTGTATATATTTTTATTGTAATAATTTTTTTATCTATACTTTTTTCCCCCCTACCCTTCTACCATCCCTACCCTAAATGGAGTAAACTAACAGACAACAATACTTATACTGCTACTTACAGATATTTTGCTCACACCTACGGTACCTGTAGCTACATGTATTCCTAATTTCCTCTTTCTTCAAGTGCTGGATTTTCACCCACAGTGGTCAATCCACCATCCATTCTGATCTTAACTCCAACACTCCAATGTCTACAGATTACTGTACAATATTAGTTTGTGAGGAAAGTATTGTGTTATACTACTAGTTATATTACTTTGCGTTACTTTCATGAAAAAAACCACACATTCTATAGGAGGGAACAAGGCCGTGTGCACTCTAAAAGAGATAGGCTATTTACTAACTCAGGTCTTATCACTAGTTTGTCCTTTTATCTGTGGTGCTGCTTTCCTGTGCTAGTATACACACCATATATACTGTAAGCCAACCATCTGTACAGATTTCCTATCTTTTCATTCAAAATCTCTCTCTCTAGCTGCCTGTTCTGGTTATAGAGCACACGTACACAGACCCATAGAAATGTATAGAGGGCACACTTGCCACTACACAGGAAAGCCGTCTATGGCCTTTGTATTTGCATTTCTTTTTGCATTTTAGTCATTTAGCAGACGCTCTTATCCAGAGCGACTTACAGTTAGTGAGTGCATACATTCTTTATTTTTATTTTTTTCATACTGGCCCCCCGTGGGAAACGAACCCACAACCCTGGCGTTGCAAACACCATGCTCTACCAACTGATCCTACATCCCTGCCGGCCATTCCCTCCCCTACCTTGGACGACGCTGGGCCAATTGTGCGCCGCCCCATGGGTCTCCCGGTCGCGGCCGGCTACGACAGAGCCTGGATTCGAACCAGGATCTCTAGTGGCACAGCTAGCACTGCGATGCAGTGCCTTAGACCACTGCGCCACTCAGGAATCTCGGGAATCTGTTTTCACAGAAGTGATCAATGGCAAAGATCAGAGGTGCACCCTCTATACATTTCTATGGACATCAACTCATCATTACATTTCTCCAAACCAGGGAGATGGTTCAAGATTGACGTCGAAATTGGACGTCTATCCATGTCCTGAGGATGTCGGGAAATGCCTTCAAAACTGGCCACTATGGGCAACAGTGAGCGCTATTACCACCAAGTAGGCTTGGGTTTTGCTAGGGTGTTGTGGACAGAGGTGGTGGATAAGTGTTATCCCATGACTCTGGATCAGAAGTTTGCATGTTCGATCCCAGTCGTGGACACTGGTTTTACATTTTTTGTTTTAACGCTATCCCAAACCTTACCTTAACCATTTGGAATGAGTGCTTAAACTTAACCCTTGAATTCAAAATTTGATGTTTGGAGAAATGGAACGATACAGCACAGCAGGAGTCAACACAGTGTGTCAGAAACACTGAAATTTGACGTTTGGAGGAATTTAGAAATTTGATGTTTGGAGAAACGTGGATAAACATCTAATTTTACAGTGAGACTGTGAGAGCTTGTTGCCTTCCTCCGCTTGCTCGAGAACTAAATGAGGAAACAAGTCGAGATCAGATCATGGAAACACGTGCCCGGTAGAGATATGATTCTGAAAGTAACGCACGTGTTGTTTGACAAAGTAACTGTAATAATATTACCCAATTTGAAAAAGTAACCCATTACTTTACTCCGTTACTCATAAAAGTAATCCGATTACGTAACGATTTACTTTTGTAACGCATTACCCCCAACACAGACCTGCAGTGATGATGAGAGACAGGGCGGAGATGGAGGCAGACTTGACGACTTTGCCCCCAAGCCTCTGTCGGTCTGGTGTCGGTCTGTCTGGTGTCTGTCTATCTGGTGTCTGTCTATCTGGTGTCTCCAGCTGGTTCCCAAAGCGTTGGGGGGCCCTGTGGTTCCTGGGGGAAGAGTGTTTCGCCCCGGTGCTGTTGCTACGAATACGGATCCGATGAAGGTTTGACACGACCACCTCAGCTGTAATACACAGGAATAAGGGTATAAATCCAATGGTGACCAAAATCGGCAATGTTTGAAGTATCTTTGCAAATAATTTTGTCTGGATGGAAGCTCACTCTCAACACAAGAGAAACTCTGTGTTTGTGCATAGATTGCTTTTGTTTTGACTGTTTGCCATTTGATTAGTCTGCACCCGACTTAGTCCTGAATCCTCCGATCAACAAAAAGCAATATCACACAAATCTGTTTGTTTTTATGAGTAATGTTTCATAAGAAATTAAATATCTTATGTCACATCATGGGCAATAATTCAATTTTTGTTGGTTTCCATGAGGCTGTGCAAACTTGAACAAGAGTGGAGGGGCTTGGGACTGAGCTCACCTTCGTCGTCTGTGGAGAAGGCGAAGCGGGGCATGGTCTCCAGACTGTGGGTGCTGCTCATCACCAGGGGGCTGGTGCCCCTCTCACAATGGAAGGAATTGGACGAGGCCCGAGGGCGCAGGCTGCATCACATCAACGGCAGTGTCAGTTAGGAGGAGAAGGGGCAATGGTGACACATACTATCTACAGCTAGAATAGTCATTTATGCCGTGTGTACCCATTGGATGCACACACTCTATTCAGCAACATTTCTTAACTTTTCGGAATTAATCATAATTTGATGCACTTTCACCAACTGTTCAGCAGTGCTTCCGATAAGGACGTATTTTAATTCCTACACAGGGAATCCTAACAGAAACAGAGAGCTACAAACTCGTCCTGGCTCTGCTCACCTGCCCCTGCGATCTTGGTGCTGGCGTTCCTGTCTCTGGATGTCTCCTCCCGGGAAGGGTGTGAAACGCCCATCCCAGCCCTCCTTGTCCTCACTGTGGCTGCGGTCTGATGAGAAGCTCAGGTTGGACGGTGTGGCCAGATGTTCTGTGCTGCTGTACACCTGAAAGCATGGAGTAGCCACATTAGCTAGGGTGGCCAAGTTTGGTGAACTTGGCTCTAACAAAACAGTTTTTTCTCTCTCAGAGATTTAAGGAGTTTTCCATTATATTGTTTTTATAAAGAATTGCTCAACAAACTACTAATATTATTGACATTTCTTTATCTGTTCTGTGACAAAATTACTAATATTTGAAAAGGTATGTTCCGAACCTTGCTGAAGCGGTTTGACCAGGAGGAAAACTGACGGATTTCCAGGGAAGACTCTTCATCGTTGGTTTCGTCATCCTCATCTGAGGCCAAATGGTGGTAACGCTCTGAGCGAGCTGAAAACATGAAAACGCAAAATGCGTGGAACTCAGGAACAGGGACCGTACCATAAAATCCAACCAGGATATTTAGTGTATTTCAGGAAAACATATAATTTTCATTAAACATAATTGACTAATGAAAATATCAATCAGCATTAGACAGACATGAAGAGCAAATATCACTACATCTGCAGAGATATACTGGCAATAGAAGGAAATGGATCTTTGTCTTAATAAGACCACTTGTGAAGGACTGCCCATACTGTCAAAGTAGCTGGTGTCGTCCTCCGCTTCCAGTTGAGGGATGAATTCTGCTTTCAGTCGGAGTAGTCCGTTCCAGTCCAGACGCAAGAAAAAGGGGTGTTGTTTGACCTCAGATGCTCCTCCTAGAACAATATATATTTTTTCGATTACGGTCATGTGTGCAAACCTCAGAACAATAGCCAACAGCAAAACGTCAGACTAGGATGTTGGGAAATGAAGACGAGGGCTCGGTTCCAATATCTAGACTAGCAATAGGGCTCTAGCAATAGCATTCTAAGTGGGATAATAGAATGGACATTGGAACGTAGTTGTGTGGTCTACGAACCTGTCCCCAGGCGCTCTAGAGGGCCCTGCCTCAGCAGCCGTGTGATCATGTCCTGGGCGTCTGCAGGTAAAGCCTCATCCCCACCGGGCCAGATGATGTCATCTGTACATCGAGCAAGCACACGTTAATGAGAGGATCTCCACATTGAACACAATTAAAGAAAGCCTATATAGTGTACATATTCCATCAATGGATACTTACCACTGACAACCTGCCCAAAGAGTTCCTCGGGTGTGTCCCCAAAGAAGGGCACACATCCAACCAGGAACTCATACAGGATGACTCCCATGGCCCACCAGTCTACTGGCTTCCCATAGCCCTGTCTCAGTATCACCTCTGGGGCTATGTACTCTGGGGTGCCACACACCTAGAAAACCACACCAATAATATTCAGTTATACCGTAACATTTGCATTCAGATTTTTTTAACACATTGGAGTTTAGTTACACAGTAGTTATGAGATGGTACACCTATACTGGGTTGAGTATTTGAAAGTATTTGACCTATGCATTTGACCCTGGTGTGAGTGTGTGCATGTGTATGTATGTGTTCAAGAAACGTGCCTTGCATTTCGGTATATTGTTTTCCTATGCCTTATTATGGAGCTGAATGTATTTATAGTGAAAGGACATAAAAAGGGTTAAGCGGTTGAAAAGCACCGACTCACCTGTTTGTCGATGAACTCCCTGGTGTCTTTCTCCATGTGACCCTCGTAAAGGTTAGTGGTCATGTTCATCAGGCCAATTCTGGACAGGCCAAAGTCAGTCAATTTGATGTGGCCCATAGAAGTGATCAACAAGCTGCAGGTAGGATGGAGAAAAATGTTCAAGCTAAATTCTCTTCGACTTAAGGTACAGTGCCTTCAGAAAGTATTCACACCCCTTGACTTTCTCCACATTTTGTTGTGTTACAGCCTGAATTTAAAATGGATTACATTGAGATTTTGAGTCACTGGCCTGCACACAATACCCCATAATGTCAAAGTGGAATTATGTTTTTAGAAATGTCTACATTTTTTTTTTCAAAGCTGTAATGTCTTGAGTAAATAAGTATTCAACCCCTTTGTTATGGCAAGCCTAAATAAGTTCAGGAGTAAAAATGTGCTTAACAAGTCACATAATAATTTGCATGGATTCACTCTGTGTGCAATAACAATGTTTAGCATGATTTTTGAATGACTACCTCATCTCTGTACCCCACACATACAATTATCTGTAAGGTCCCGGAGTCGAACAGTGAATTTCAAACACAGATTCAACCACAAAGACCAGGGAGTTTTTCCAATGCCTCGCAAAGAAGGGCACCTATTGGTAGATTGGTTTTAAAAAAAGCAGACATTGAATATCCCTTTAAACATGGTGAAGTTATTAATGACACTTTGAATGGTGTATCAATACACCCAGTCTCTACAAAGATACAGGTGTCCTTCCTAATACCTAAGTTGCCGGAGAGGAAGGAAACCGCTCAGGGATTTCACCATGAGGCCAACGGTGACTTTAAAACAGTTACAGAGTTTAATGGCTGTGATAGAAGAAAACTAAAGATGGATAAACAACATTGTAAATGCTCCACAATACTAACCTAAATGACAGAGTGAAAAGAAGGAAGCCTGTACAGAATAAAAATATTCCAAAACATGCATCCTGTTTGCAATAAGGCACTTAAGTAAAACCGGAAAAAAATGTGGCCTGAATACCAAGCGTTATGTTTGGGGCAAATTCAGTTCCACTCTACATATTTTCAAGCATGGTGGTGGCTACACCATGTTATGTGTATGCTTGTCATCGGCAAAGACTAGGGAGTTTTTTTGTTTAAAAAAAAAAAAAACGGAATAGAGCTAAGCACAGGCAAAATCCTAGAGAAAAACCTGGTTCAGTCTGCTTTCCAACAGACACTGGGAGACAAATTCACCTTTCAGCAGGACAATAACCTAAAACACATTGCCAAATATATACTGGAGTTGCTTACCAAGATAACATTGAATGTTCCTGAGTGGCCTAGTTACAGTTTTGACTTAAATCGTCTTGAAAATCTATGGCAAGAGTTGAAAATGGCTGTCTAGCAATGATCAACAACCAACTTGAAAAGAGCTTGAAGAATTTAAAAAAGAATAATGTGCAAATATTATACAATCCAGGTGTGCAAAGCTCTTAGAGACTTTCCCAGAAAGACTCACAGCTGTAATCGCTGCCAAAGGTGATACTAACATGTATTGACTCAGGGGTGTGAATACTTATGTAAATTAGATATTTCTGTATTTAATTTTCAATAAATGTGCAAAAATTAAAAAATATGTTTTCACTTTGTCCTTATGGGGTATTGTGTGTAGATGGGTGAGAGAAACAAATCTACTGAATCCATTTTGAACTCAGGCTGTAACACAACACAATGTGGAGTATGAATACTTTCTGAAGGCACTGTATGTAAAGACGTTTAAAGCCTGTTCTGGACTCACTTGTCAGGTTTTAGGTCTCTATGAACGATGCCGTAGTTGTGAAGGTACTCCAAGGCCAGCACAGTCTCAGCAAAGTACATCCGGGTCATGTCCACAGGAAGGGGGCCCATGTTCTTCAGCAGGTTAGCACAGTCCCCACCTGCAAGAGATAATCAACAGTTATGCTAAAGCTAGGAGAAATCATGAGTGGAACAAATTCGCCTTTCCAACTATACTGAACAATAATATGAACGCAACATGTAAAGTGTTGGTCCCATGTTTCATGAGCTGAAATAAAAAATCCCAGAAACTTTGAATACAGACAGAAAAGCTTATTTCTCTCAAATTTGGTGCACAAATTTGTTTACATCCCTGTTAGTGAGCATTTCTACTTTGCCAAGATAATCGATCCATTTGACAGGTGTGGCATATCAAGAATCTGATTAAACAGCATGATCATTAGACAGGTGCACCTTATAATATAATGGCCACTCTAAAATGTGCAGTTTTCTCACACAACACAATGCCACAGACATCACAGACTGTAGGAATGTCCACCAGAGCTGTTGCCAGAGAATTGAATGTTCATTTCTCTACCATCAGCTGCCTGCAACATCGTTTTAGAGAATTTGGCAGTACGTCCAACCGGCCTCACAACCGCAGACCACTTGTAACCACGCCAGCCCAGGACCTCCACATCCGGCTTCTTCACCTGCGGGATCATCTGAGACCAGTCACCCAGACAGCTGATAAAACTAAGGAGTATTTATGTCTGCAATAAAACGCCTTTGTGGGGAAAAACTAATTCTGATTGGCTGGGCCTGGCTCCAAAGTGGGTGGGCCTATGCCCTCCCAGGCCCACCCATGGCTGCACCCCTACCCAGTCATGTGAAATCCATAGATTAGGGCCTAATGAATTTATTTCAATTGACTGATTTCCTTTTATGAACTGTAACTCAGTATTTTTGTTCAGTATATTTCCATTCCAACATGACAAACAACAGAGTCATGATAAACTTATCGCTTTTGGGGTAGAAAATCATATGACATTACCTTCCACATACTCCATCACCATGCACAGGTGGCGTCGTGTCTCGAAGGAGCAGAACATGGAGACCACAAAGGGGTTCTCAGCGAAGGTCAGGATGTCCCGCTCCACAAACACCTGCTGGATCTGGTTCCTCAGGACCAGGTTTTGCCTGTTGATCTTCTTCATGGCGAAACGCTGCCGAGTGTCTCTGTGTCGGACCAGGTATACAGCCCTGCCAACCACCACAGGACAGGAGCCATGTCATAAAATACCTCCACATTGATAATCCATGACTACAGGGATAGTTCAATCCATGAAAGTGGAATTGTAGTTAATTTTCAATACTTCTCTAAATGTTTACTAACCTTGACAGAAGTCTACAGTTCGCCTTTTAATGTTAACCTTTAACTGACTATAACTGAGGTGACAGAGCGCATTGATTTAAAATCTAATTGGGAGTCCATGTTTTCAGTGATCAGTGTGGTTAACCACTTGCCTGTTTGGCGCTTACCCATAGGCTCCATTACTGATGAGTTTGATGGTTTCAAAGTCACTCTCCAGTGGTTTCCTTCGCATTGGGGTGAGTGCCTGGGGACACTTGTTCTGCTGCAAACAGTGCAAACAATAAGAGAAGTTAAGTGGCAGGCATTATACAAAAGGTGCCGGGGGACCCATTAACCCACTGGTGTCAGTATGACTACATAGCAAGTCTTCCAAATAACGTCATGTAAATAAAGCTGCTATCAGGACTTATGTTAATTGAAAGTTCAGTTTATGTGATTCTGTTGGCAATCTCATCCTAAAAACCTAGTACATTACAGGCAAGCTAATGCCCAATTCACATCGTGACATATTTCATTACGAGGTACGTCATCTTAACGCAATCTCTTTCTGCTACCGGACGGAGAGCATAGGGTTCCACAACGCAAGACAAAATGGAGGAGAGTGTCTCATCTGAGATAGCATTTATTTGGGAGATTGCAAAATAGGACCCTTTCATTCAAGACAGGAAAAACATATTGTTTCAGGTGATAATAAAACATGTTTCGTTTAGTTACTTTTTCCTCAACTTCTTTCTCTAACATTCTAGCAAGTCAAGCTAGCTTACAAAGCAACTAGCTAGCTAACTAAAAGCTAGGCTCGGTTGAAGATACTGTAGCTGGCGATCTCCACCTAATAATTATTATCAAAAACAAAAGTAATTACCATCACAATAAACTAAAACAGTCATATAATAGAATTGGCTTAACAGCCAACATTACTACTAAAATAGTACTCACTTATAGGAATGGGTAATTGTTTAAAAGTTGCTAATTATCCCATAAAGCCATCGCCGAAAACCACATATATTTTCATCTTGTTCTGTGGTTTGGTAACTTCCTGTTCTATTGACAGACTTTGGCTGCACTGAAGACGAAGCATTGTTTGGAAAAAGTCAAAGTGTGCGCCATCCGTTTCGCAACGGAGCCTTGAACCGCAAGGGGGTGCTGCAATACCACTCCGTTGCGGAAGGTTCCCATTGAAATGAATGACATCCGGCGCAATGCAACGGACTGCTCAGATGGAATGTGAATGAGGTATAACTCCTTACCTCCACAGATTCATCAGACTCCAATGTCATTGATGGAGCAGACTCATACTGTTCAAGCTGTACCATATCTAAAAGAGCAGGGTAGAAATATATGATTTAACAGCAATGCATGATATTGATTTGTACTGGATGTCTGTCTCAAGTGTGGGAAATTCAGGTCAATGTTATGGCAAAAGATACACCAATACCTTCGAGGGGGTCGCGTGTCAAGCCCAGTTGGTTGATGATGTAACGTGGAATATCCGTCTTGATGCCCTGGCCCTCCTTGGCATGACCCTCGGCTGCCTCCAGCAGACGATAGAACTCTTCCGGGTCAAATTCCTGCCAATGACATCCAAGGCCCATTAGATTAGATTGGATTAAGGTAAATAAAATCACTTAGTCATGAAAGAGCTTATTGGTGATACAGTGGCTTAAAAACCAGCGACAAAACAGATTAAGAGAGACTGCTTTCCAACGCTCTCGACAGAATCAATCGCATTTCCAATCAGAATGAGATTTTCTCTCCGTCTCACCAGGCACTCGAGCAGCCTCGCCGGTCGGGATATGATGATGAGAATCTTCTTCACCAGCTGGGTGATGACAGATACCTCCTCGCTCTCCGAGCGATCGTACGCCTGAAATGCAAAGCCAAAATGTTTTAGCTTCTGAACAGAGCATAACATGGAGATGATCAACTCCTCTCAAAAACAGAGGAGCCTTTTTATCTCTTTCGCCATAGCAAGAGCGCAACCACATAGCATTAAAGCCAACATACTACATCCAAACCAACCTAGCTACCTGCAGCATGACCACAGAATGCATTATTTGCAGACATAGGCCCTGTCTAGAAAAAAACCCTAGCCCCTAGGCACTTCTTTAGATCTGAGAGGACTGAATAAGTAAAATGGCGATAATTCCACCCAAGTGCCTAGAGGAAAGGGGCTACGGGTTGTTCTTCATACTTCAGTGGATAATCAATTCCAGAGAATAAATTGTTCTACACAAATCAGGAAGCCAATGGATCTTAAGCCCTCACACTATGCATCATTATTGGCTACCCCAAGCATCACAATCATGTACCTGGGCGGCAGGTAGCCTAGCGGTTAGAGCGTTGGGCCAGTAACCGAAAGGTCACTAGTTCGAATCACCGAGCCTACGAGTAGAAAAATCTGTTGATGTGCCCTTGAGCAAGGCACTTAACCCATATTGCTCCAGGGACGCCATCGATAATGGCTGACCCTGGCCATGACCCCACTCTCTGAGGTTGTCTCAGGGGCAGTTGGGATATTTATGACATCTTGTCTTAATGTCATAAATAATCCTTGGTTCCTGCCTGTGCTTGGTAAAGATTTGAGGGGGGGGGGGGCGACATGACCCCCTCCTTAGGAGCATCTGGCAGAACGCCCAGAATATATTCTATAAATTAAGATAGGAGATGGTGCCTGACACATGCCGGAACCAACCCTATGAACTACGCAACATGTCTGTAAGCAGTATATAAGAGATCTAACGGGACTGCCCCAGGGGAGCTCACTTCAGACCGGTACTTTATGCATCTAAGTTTGACTGTGACCACTCCAGCTTGCTATTAATAAACAATGACTCATTTATTTATAAAAAAAAAAAAACTTCCTTTCCTTACCTCTCTACTGGCCGTGGTTAATCCCTACCACATACATGTGAACTCAGGCCCGGTCCTGGTTGATATGCCGCCCTAGGCGAGACCAGAAAATTGCAGCACTCCTCCTTTTATTTTTTTTATTTAACCTTTATTTAACTAGGCAAGTCAGTTAAGAACAAATTCTTATTTACAATGACGGCCTACACCGGCCAAACCCGGACGACGCTGGGCCAATTGTGCACTGCCCTATGGGACTCCCAATCACGGCCGGTTGTGATACAGCCTGGAATTGAACCAGGGGGTCTGTAGTGACGCCTCAAGCACTGAGATGCAGTGCCTTAGACCGCTGCGCCACTCGGGAGATTGACTTTGCGTATCCCTCTGAAGAATTTCCACGACAACACATTTGAAATAAGACAAATATAAGCACCCACCAAATTATTATTATGTTTTAGTTTGTATACCAGGATCAATAGGGAGAATTGCATTGGCTTTTGATTCACGGTCCTTCTGAGGCCAGTTGCAAGTGACTGGACAGCTGGGTCACAATGTACAGACACCAGACCTGGGTTCAAATACATGTATTTAATTATTTGTTATTTAAATACTTATTTTCTGTGTATTTGAGTATTTTCAAATAATGTGGCCGAAATCTACTACTATTTGAAGTATTTTCAAATAATTTCCTATTTAGCCTAATACTTATTTCCAAATACATTATTTCAAATTCTCCTACGACCTAGGTTCAAATGCATGGAAGTATTTATTTGTATTTGAAAATACACTGTGTATTTGAGTATTTTCAAATACATGCCAATACTTTCTTGGCGTATTTACAAATACATTCCAATATTCAACTACTTGCATTTTCCAAAGAAAATATCTGAATACTGACTTTTAAATGTATGTGAAAGTAATCGAAATAATTGAAATAGTATTTGAACTCAGGTTTGACACACACACACACAAAGAGGACAACTAACTACACTGAACAAAAATATAAACGCAACATGTAAAGTGTTGGTCCCATGTTTCATGAGCTGAAATAAAGGATCCCAGAAATTGTACATACGCACAAAAATATTATTTATCTAAAATTTTGGCAACAAATTTGTTTACATCCCTGTTAGTGAGCATTTGTCCTTTGCCAAGATAATCCACCACTTTACAGGTGTGGCATATCAAGAAGCTGATTAAACAGCATGATCATTACACAGGTGCGCCTTGTGCTGGGGACAATAAAAGGCCACTCCAAAATGTGCAGTTTTGTCACATAACACAATGCCACAGATGTCTCAAGTTGAGGGAGTGTGCAATTGGCATGCTGACTGCAGGAATGTCCACCACAGCTGTGGCCAGCGAATTGAATGTTCATTTCTCTACCATAAGCCACCAACGTCATTTTAGAGAATTTGTCAGTACGCCCAACTGGCCTCACAACCACAGACCACGTGCATGACGTTGTGTGGGCGAGTGGTTTGCTGATGTCTACGTTATGAACAGGGTGCCCCATGAATGCACAGAGATACCGTGACGAGATCCTGAGGCCCATTGTCATGCCATTCATCCGCCGCCATCACCTTATGTTTCAGCATGATAATGCACAGCCCAATGTTGCAAGGATCTGTACACAATTCCTGGAAGCTGAAAATGTTCCAGTTCTTCCATGGCCTGCATACTCACCAGACATGTCACCCATTGATCATGTTTGGGATGCTCTGGATCGACAAGTACGGCAGCGTATTCCAGTTCCCGCCAATATCTACTCTGGCTAGAGGAGCTCTGGCTATGGCTAGAGGAGCTATGGCTAGAGGAGCTCTGGATAGAGGAGCTCTGGATAGAGGCTCTAAACACAGAACAATGGTGCAGTGCGATAACTCTGAATTAAAAATGCAAAACCTGAAATATGTTGCGCATCACAGAAAGACATCTAGCTGGAAACAACCCCACATGAGACAGCCTCAGTCATGCTCAGTGGCCTCCGTGAGGGAAAATCTGATTCATTAAAAAAGCAAGAAGGAAAAACAAAACAAACCGAGGCAATGAGGACGAACATCTGAAAAAGGAGGAGAAAAGCAACGTGTCCTCCTGAACAGATGGGTTAAACGTGGCCAGTAATATTATACACACACGCGTATCCCCAAGATAATGAGTCAGAGAGGACGTTACATCAACAAACGAGAATATTCCTTGGCTGTATTCTGAGGGCCTCCTGATTCAAATGGTGAGTCATCATCATTGGCTGCACTAGTGAAACCATACAAATAACATGCCATCCAAAAACAACTTATTTATTCCTCAGGGGGTTGACATAATATGCAAATCATAAAACAACTGGATGCCCAAGGGTAGTCTGAGGAAACACATTTTAGACTTAAGTGCTGGCAGTTATGGTCCGATCACACTGATAAACCTAGACGCAAAGATATTTGTGGATATCCCACCTCGTGGAGCAGCTTCTCCAGCTTCTCCTGCAGCTCCACAAAGTAGCGTGAGGTGACCACACCAGTGTGGGACTTGTCCAGACAGTCTCGGACCAGCTCCACCAGCTGGTGCTGGATGAAGCCCAGCACGCCATCGGACAGTGGGAGGGTGCTGTCTGGGGAGCAGGCGGTGACAATATCCAGCAAGCGCTCCTCCATCTGCGCTGTGGCCTAAAGGGATAGCAAACACACACAACATTATACAAAACAAAACACACCTAAGCATTAGTTTAGTAAGTGAAAATAGTGAAAATACATTTCATCAAAGCCTGCAACCAAGTGTAATCCTTCAGTAGCACCCAAACAGGACATGGGAAGACATTTCAGGGTAACCACGGTTAAGTGGTCCTTCTGGAGCATCCAATACTGCTAAATATCTTCAGACATTTTATGGTGACCATGGTTAGTCCAAGTACAACGTTCAGAAAGTCAGATAAGTCAGAGTAATCACATTCCCCAGAAGCAGAGAGGAAATAAGCTTTCTGATTATGGCAAATACAAACAGACATTGCTTCCTGTACAACAAAGATTGAGGTGAGAACATGACGTACCTTCGGAAACCGTTCTTTGTAAACATGGTTCATCATGACGATCTCATTATCGAATGAACCCACTGTTCTTCCGGGGCTAAAACAGAAAAGGACACAAAGCTTGTCAATTTCTTTATTCCAATCCAACCAAATGGACTGACAGAGCTCGCAAAAATCTGTGAAGCAGTCGGCAATTGACATTCTTATTGGATGGGTGCAATATTTTGAATAATGGCTAAAATTATCATCCCAAGTGAAGATTCATTGTGGAATAGTGAATTTGCAACATTCTGACAAAGATAAAAACCTAATCCCTTCAAAACATCTAAATCAACACATTTTATTTAGCTTCCAAGCTCATTTCCTGTTTTACTTTGGATTTTTTTTTAACTCTTCCGTATTAGGTAAGACAACAGCTGGTGTAAGATATGGACCACATCTATACTGTCTGTCTGGCCCATGTAACAGACAGACAGGGCCTTTCCTCTCCTGTCTTCCCCCCTAATCTCATCGTCCAAGAGTTAGGGGTACGGAGCAGAAATGCACCCCATCCACATTTTTTGTTGCAATGAAAGAGGCTTCTGTTGCAGCAGATGGCCTGCAGCCTGACCACCACACACTGCAGCTCCGCCCCCAACTTGGCCCCCCGAGAACCTCCAGCTTAGCTGGTCCCCGCAGTGCTCTGCACCCACCCACCCACCCACGCACTGCACGCCATGCCACGACAACACAGGGAGCTCGGGCGGCGCATGGTACACAACGCTGCTCGCCTTAAGCCACGCAGTAACACCACGCTCTGCATCCTTCCCTGTCTGTGTAGGCTAATCTATGCTTAATCGGACCCTACGAGAGTCCCACAAATTGGTGCAGTATGTTACTTATTACAAAACAGGCTCATTTTCTACAGTATTATACTGTTATAATATATATATATATATATATATATATATATATTTTATAATATTATTGTATTAAACTGCATCCCCACTGCGTAGTGGGTTTAGCTAGAGATCAACTTGAGGCGTACTGAACATTGGCAAATGCAAAATACTTTGCTTTACTTTGTTACAGGACTGAATACATTTTGACTGTCCACACTGGCAGAACTGGCAGCAGGGTTGGATTGTACAAAGCAGGATCACTAACTAGCTAACTCATTGATTCTGCTTTGTGAAACAGCCCCCAGGTAAGGGGATGTAGATTAATACATTGTCTCCGTTCGTCAGTTCACTGTGTAAACACTCCACTGACTCATGCTCTCGTCCACACCTACAGTTGAAGTCGGAAGTTTACATACACCTTAGCCAAATGCATTTAAACTCAGTTTTTCACAATTCCTGACATTTAATCCTAGTAAAAATTCCCTGTCTTGGGTCAGTTAGGATCACCACTTTATTTTAAGAATGTGAAATGTCAGAATAATAGTAGAGAGAATGATTTATTTAAGCTTTTATTTCTTTCATCACATTCCCAGTGGGTCAGAAGTTTACATACACTCAATTAGTATTTGGTAGCATTGCCTTTAAATTGTTTAACTTGGGTCAAACGTTTCGGGTAGCCTTCCACAAGCTTCCCACAATAAGTTGGGTGAATTTTGGCCCATTCCTCCTGACAGAGCTGGTGTAACTGAGTCAGGTTTGTAGGCCTCCTTGCTTGCACACGCTTTTTCAGTTCTGCCCACACATTTTCTATAGGATTGAGGTCAGGGCTTTGTGATGGCCACTCCAATACCTTGACTTTGTTGTCCTTAAGCCATTTTTCCACAACTTTGGAAGTATGCTTGGGGTCATTGTCCATTTGGAAGACCCATTTGCGACCAAGCTTTATCTTCCTAACTGATGTCTTGAGATGTTGCTTCAATATATCCACATAATTTTCCTTCCTCATGATGCCATCTATTTTGTGAAGTGCACCATTCCCTCCTGCAGCAAAGCACTCCCACAGCATGATGCTGCCACCCCTGTGCTTCACAGTTGGGATGGTGTTTTTCAGCTTGCAAGCTACCCCCTTTTTCCTCCAAACATAACAATGATCATTATGGCCAAACAGTTCTATTTTTGTTTCATCACACCAGAGGACATTTCTCCAAAAAGTACAATCTTTGTCCCCATGTGCAATTGCAAACCGTAGTCTGGCTTTTTTATGGCGGTTTTGGAGCAATGGCTTCTTCCTTGCTGAGCGGCCTTTCAGGTTATGTCGATATAGGACTTGTTTTACTGTGGATATAGATACTTTTGTACCTGTTTCTTCCAGCATCTTCACAAGGTCCTTTGCTGTTGTTCTGGGATTGATTTGCACTTTTCGCACCAAAGTACGTTCATCTCTAGGAGACAGAACACGTCTCCTTCCAGAGCGGTATGTCGGCTGCGTGGTCCCATGGTGTTTATACTTGCGTACTATTGTTTGTACAGATGAACGTGGTACCTTCAGGCATTTGGAAATTGCTCCCAAGGATGAACCAGACTTGTTGGGGTCTAGAATTTGTTTTATGAGGTCTTGGCTGATTTCTTTTGATTTTCCCATGATGTCAAGCAAAGAGGCACTGAGTTTGAAGGTAGGCCTTGAAATACATCCACAGGTACATCTCCAATTGACTCAAATGATTTCAATTAGCCTATCAGAAGCTTCTAAAGCCATGACATAATTTTCTGGAATTTTCCAAGCTGTTTAAAGGCACAGTCAACTTAGTGTATGTAAACTTCTGACCCACTGGAATTGTGATACAGTGAATTATAAGTGAAATAATCTGTCTGTAAACAATTGTTGGAAAAAGTACTTGTGTCATGCACAAAGTAGATGTCCTAACCGACTTGCCAAAACTATAGTTTGTTAACAAGAAATGTGTGGAGTGGTTGAAAAACAAGTTTTAATGACTCCATCCTAAGTGTATGTAAACTTCTGACTTCAACTGTAGGTTCTCTAGCACAACACAAAGGGAGACAAGTTAATTAAGAACCAGGCATAACAATGAGATCCTGGTACTGTACAGTCAAATCTGGGTTTGACTTAATACATCGTTTTTGAAGATGTACCAATTTGCATGTAATAACTTCCCATGTCTGACAAAAAAAACAACTCCACAAAAATGTACGGAGGGTGACGATGCATTAAATCTCATTTTGATGATATAGCACATTACAGTTAAGGCGAGGGGTAATGGACGGCTACCTGAGGCTGCGGGAGCGAGGGCGCATGAACGGCGAGGGTCGCACTTCCTCGTCGGTCACGCTCTCCGAGCTACGGAAGTGCTTGAACAGGAAATGGAGCTCGTCTTGAGTGGGCTGGTAGGGAAGCTGGTGCAGGCGCTCCTGGGAAGAGGAGGAGGACTGGAGGAAAATAAGTACTTTTAACATTCAAAAGCCAACACTTTATCCTGAAGGATGGAGGATCTGTATCATAATTAGGACAAGATAACGGTTATTTAATGTGGCTTTTGAGGCTGTGAGTAACATTTTTTTCTGATAATTTTTCTGAGATGAAAGGCACACTCTGGCAGCTCCTGGCAATCATTCCGATTTTTTACCCCATGGGTCCTGAATAGCAGTAGATCATGGTGACTTGGCGAGCCGCATCTGTGATGCCCCTTTTCTGCCTGCACATAAAGAGGGCACTGAGCATCACTGAAAGGCCTATTGTCCTAGTCTGAACTTGCCGCATGTGCTGAGCTTTCCCTTATAAAACTACTCACAATGGAGGAACACATGGCCTGTTCTCATCTCAGACCCTCATCTAATTTTTTCACCACCACCATCCTTCTCCTTCAGAATGGAGACCTTTGATTTTTCACTTTGTCTAATGTAATCCTCCTACCGCAGGGATCATCAACTAAATTCAGTCTTGGGAAAAAAAAATTCTTGAGCGGATGGTCAGGGGGCCGGAACATAATAACAAATAATTTGAAGTCCAAACATATATAATATTTGGCTAAAACAATTATTTTAAACCTTGTATACAATCACATACAGTGGGGAAAACAAGTATTTGATACAGTGCCGATTTTGCAGGTTTTCCTACTTACAAAGCATGTAGAGGTCTGTAATTTTTATCATAGGTACACTTCAACTGTAAGAGACGGGATCTAAAACAAAAATCCAGAAAATCACGTTGTATGATTTTAAAGTAATTAATTTGTATTTTATTGCATGACATAAGTATTTGATCACCTACCAACCAGTAAGAATTATGGCTCTCACAGACCTGTTCGTTTTTCTTTAAGAAGCCCTCCTGTTCTCCACTCATTACCTGTATTAACTGCACCTGTTTGAACTCGTTACCTGTATAAAAGACACCTCTCCACACACTCAATCAAACAGACTCCAACCTCTCCACAATGGCCAAGACCAAAGAGCTGTGTAAGGACATCAGGGATAAAATTGTAGACCTGCACAAGGCTGGGATGGGCTACAGGACAATAGGCAAGCAGCTTGGTGAGAAGGCTACAACTGTTGGCGCAATTATTTGATAATGGAAGAAGTTCAAGATGACGGTCAGTCACCCTCGGTCTGGGGCTCCATGCAAGATCTCACCTCGTGGGGCATCAATGATCATGAGGAAGGTGAGGGATCAGCCCAGAACTACACGGCAGGACCTGGTCAATGACCTGAAGAGAGCTGGGACCACAGTCTCAAAGAAAACTATTAGTAACACACTACGCCGTCATGGATTAAAATCCTGCAGCGCACGCAAGGTCCCCCTGCTCAAGCCAGCGCATGTCCAGGCCCGTCTGAAGTTTGCCAATGACCATCTGGATGATCCAGAGGAGGAATGGGAGAAGGTCATGTGGTCTGATGAGACATAAATATAGCTTTTTGGTTTAAACTCCACTCGCCGTGTTTGGAGGAAGAAGAAGGATGAGTACAACCCCAAGAACACCATCCCAACCGTGAAGCATGGAGGTGGAAACATCATTCTTTGGGGAAGCTTTTCTGCAAAGGGGACAGGACGACTGCACCGTATTGAGGGGAGGATGGATGGGGCCATGTATCGCGAGATCTTGGCCAACAACCTCCTTCCCTCAGTAAGAGCATTGAAGATGGGTTGTGGCTGGGTCTTCCAGCATGACAACGACCCGAAACACACAGCCAGGGCAACTAAGGAGTGGCTCCGTAAGAAGCATCTCAAGGTCCTGGAGTGGCCTAGCCAGTCTCCAGACCTGAACCCAATAGAAAATCTTTGGAGGGAGCTGAAAGTCCGTATTGCCCAGCGACAGCCCCGAAACCTGAAGGATCTGGAGAAGGTCTGTATGGAGGAGTGGGCCAAAATCCCTGCTGCAGTGTGTGCAAACCTGGTCAAGACCTACAGGAAACGTATGATCTCTGTAATTGTAAACAAAGGTTTCTGTACCAAATATTAAGTTCTGCTTTTCTGATGTATCAAATACTTATGTCATACAATAAAATGCTAATTAATTACTTAAAAATCATACAATGTGATTTTCTGGATTTTTAAAAATTACAGACCTCTACATGCTTTGTAAGTAGGAAAACCTGCAAAATCGGCAGTGTATCAAATACTTGTTCTCCCCACTGTATATCTCTCAATTATGCGTGGGAATACTTTGGAACAGATTTACAAAATGTAAATAAGTTGGAGCTGATTTGCTGGTGTTTTTACGGTCTTCATTAAAAAAAAAAAAAATCACATTCAGGCCGAATTGGGCTGCCAGTTGGGGAACCCTGTCCTACTGTCTCATGCAGCACGTTTAGAGTGAAAATGTACTAAGTTTGTCTGTCAGAAACGTAGATGCTGGTGGATTTGTGAGCAGAAGAGTTTGTGTTGGGGAGCAGAGACCTAATCTCTCACCAGTCGCTATAAAGCCCCCACAGTTTTATTCTCTCATATAGAATATTTGATGTTTACGTCTTATTCTGTTACTGCTTAACAATGACCAATATCCGCAGGGTAAGTAAAATATAAGAAGAGGGCATTTGAGTGCGCACCGCTGAGGCACAGGACCATTGATAATGCTCTTTGAAGAATCATATCATATTACAAGCACAAATACAGAACATTAGCTCATCACGTCACACTTGAATACATACATGTACTATGGGCCCATTATCACTGGACATTATCCACCGCAGGCTAGGAGCCAAACATGATGACTCATTCAGGCACATGATTCTTCAAGATGGGATTTGTCCCGTTTGGTCACATGTTCACAGCGTTGTCTTTTTCAGCCTCAGATGCATTTCTTATCCTATTTAGATCTTGTTTAATGGTTTATATGGTGTTGTGAAACTTCATATGGACACTGGGAGCTGGGTGAGGGTTAGAGACTTACAGAGACTGTGGAACTAGGGGGGTTGGTTCCGTAGCCGGAGGAGGGCAGGGACGCCAATGACCATCTTCTGCCTTCCGCTCTGGAGAAAAACAGACACACGTTGTTATGTAACCTATACATTTTCAGATCATATCCCAAACTCCCTTATAACACGTTACGTCTTCCCCGCACTACATTGAAAGCCTTGTGTATTGTTATTACTCTGTTGTTTGTGATGTATTATACATTCAGGGATTTTGTAATGTGTAATCACTATGCACTTGTTACAATGTACAGTCAGGTCCATAATTATTGGCACCCTTGATAAAGATGAGCAACAAAGACTATATCAAATAAATAATACAAATACTGAGCTATATTGTATGCAAAGAAATAGGAAATTATGTGATTTTATACTACTACAATTGCTCAGAGAAATAGATTATGTTTAACAAGTAATCAAACAAATCTATAGAAGATAGGGGTGACAATTATTGTCGCCCCTGTTTTTAATACTCCAGCACCTTCCCCTTGCGAGGATAACAACACAGAGCCTTCTTCTAAAATGTTTTATGAGAACACGTTGGGAGGGATCTTAAGACCATTCCTCCATACAGAATCTTTCGAGATCCTTGATGTCCTTCGTCTGTTCTTATGGACTGCCCTCTAATTCAAACCACAAGTTTTCAATGAGGTTCAAGTCCGGACACTGAGATGGCCATTGCAAAATGTTGATTTTGTGGTCAATTAACCATTTCTTTGTGGTTTTTGATAAGTGCTTGGGGTTATTGTCTTGCTGGAAAAGCCACTTGCAGCCAACTGTCACCCTCCTGGCAGAGGCAACCATGTTTTTGTCTAAAATGTCCTGGTACTTGGTAAAGTTCATGATGCCGTTTCTAAAGTCCCCTATATAGAGGACCTGTGTGGTTCTGGTACTCATTCCATTTTCACTTATGAATCGATCTGTGGACACCGTATATCGAAATGGCTTGCATTCAGCGGTAGCCCTGGTTCTCATGGACTCATGAGTGTATCTCTTCCGCCTGTGTGACATAGAATGTGAAATCTGACAGCACTTAAACCTGGGATGTCCCTCCTACCATTTCATTCGCTCTTTCCCTTCTGTCAATCAACTCCTGGCTGAGCCCTACGTCACAGCCACTGACAAAGCACATGCCTGGAACCTTACATCGTACCCAGCAGGAGAGTGGTTTATCAATTTATAGCCAACTTTATCAAAGTAATCTAAAATAATTCATAGATTTTAAAGAAAAAACACTTTCTGCATATGGTTCTGTTTTTCCAACACCAAATTCACCACTGGTGTGCGTGGCCAAAGAGCTCTATTTTCATGTCATCTGATCATAGCACCGGTTCCAATCCAAGTAGCAATGCAGTTTATCAAACTCCAGGCGGTGCTATGGTCAGATGGCATGAAAATAGAGCCATTTGGCCATGCACACCAGTGGTGGGTTTGGCGTCAAAACGGACGCATACGCATAAAAGTACCTCATACCTACGGTAAAATATGGTGGTGCATCTCTGATGTTATGTCTATTTTGCTTTCATTGGTCCTGTGGCCAGTGAACGGCATCATTGACCTTAATAGCTCAATATAGCTGCAACATACAGTTGAAGTCAGAAGTTTACATACACTTAGGTTGGAGTCATTAAAACTTGTTTTTCAACCACTCCACAAATTTCTTGTTAACAAACTATAGTTTTGACAAATCGGTTAGGACATCTACTTTGTGCATGACACAAGTAATTTTTCCAACAATTGTTTACAGACAGATTATTTCACTTATAATTCACTGTACCACAGTTCCAGTGGGTCAGAAGTTTACATACACTAAGTTTACTGTGCCTTTAAACAGCTTGGAAAATTCCAGAGAATGATGTCATGGCGTTAGAAGCTTTTGATAGGCTAATTGACATCATTTGAGTCAATTGGAGGTGTACCTGTGGATGTATTTCAAGGCCTATCTTCAAACTCAGTGCCTCCTTGCATGACATCATGGGAAAATCAAAAGAAAAATCAGCCAAGACCTCAGAAAAAATATTGTAGACCTCCACAAGTCTGGTTCATCCTTGGGAGCAATTTCCATACACCTGAAGGTACCACATTCATCTGTACAAACAATAGTACGCAAGTATAAACACCATAGGATCACGCAGCCGTCATACCGCTCAGGAAGGAGACGCGTTCTGTCTCCTAGAGATTAACGTACTTTGGTGCGAAAAGTGCAAATCAATCCCAGAACAACAGCAAAGGACCTTGTGAAGATGCTGGAGGAAACAGGTACAAAAGTATCTATATCCGCAGTAAAACTAGTCCTATATCGACATAACCTGAAAGGCCGCTCAGCAAGGAAGAAGCCATTGCTCCAAAACAGCCATAAAAAAACCAGACTACGGTTTGCAACTGCATATGGGGACAAAGATCTTACTTTTTTGAGAAATGTCCTCTGGTCTGATGAAACAAAAAT